TTAAATTAGACAATGACTAAAGTTGTACGTGTAGCTTGTTGTACACTCTTCATGTAATTACAAACAGTAGGGACTATTAATGTATATCCTGTATGCAATTCTAATAAAATTCCTTCAGCAATGTAAGCCGCCTTAATAACAAAAAAAAAAATAACAAAATTTTTAAAAAAGAAAAAAAAAAAACTTAATAATGAAACTTTAATAAATCAAAAAACTTCCAAAAGAGTCTGAACTATCAAATATAATTCAAATACTACAAGAGAATCTTCTAAAATATCTTTTGAAATTGAAAAACAAGAAAAAATTTTAAGACTTAAGTATAGAAACTTACAATTTAAAAAAGTAAAAATAATGAATTAGAAAGAGAGATAATACTACGAGAAAGGTTACAAATAATATTTAAACTAACAATTTAAATTTTTTATCTAAATTTAATTTTTAATATGCTTGCGAATATATAACTTGATGTATCTTAGCAAATTAAATAGCTTAAATAAAATTATGTTATAATAATAAATAATTATAGCTTTAAATAAATTCTTAGGCTCGCTTAATCATAATATTATTATTAAAAAATTTATAATAACAATTATATTTAATAAATTATCTTTTATTACTTAATATATGTTTTATAAATTATTTTTGTAATGTTTTTTTAATTATTTTAAAATTATTTTAACATTAATTTTGTAATTAGAAATTTATAATTTATACTAATGCTAAATGCTAAGATGAATTAGTTATAACAAAATCAATTCTTAATTCAATGCTTTCCAAGTAATTCAAATTATAAGAGTTCCCGATTAATAATTTTAACTTCAAAAAATTTATATATAGTTCGTATAAATAAAGATTCTACAGTATTTTTCATTTATACTTGAAAAATTAATTCTGAATAATTGAATTTTCCAGGGCAGCCCCGAAGTTACTGCCACAGCAATTTTAAGTCATCTATTTTATCTGTTTTAAAGGTAATCGTTCAAATTATAAATAAGAGATCTTGATTATCTACTAAATGCTGCGGCGATAACGTCGATCATTGACCAAAACTTGAACTTTGAAACTCGAATTATTCGTTCATTTTAAAAGCAATGTACTGTATTTAAATTTTTATTTAGTACAATACACTTTTTGTACGTATAATATATATATATATATAATATACTGTACTAATAAATAACAAATACGATTAAATTAAAAATACAGTACGAAGCTTCTACAGGCCGGATTTATTCTTAAAAAATTATCATAATAGATTAAGTATATAGCAAATTATTATTATAGATTAAGTACATAGTAAAATTATTGTAAAAACATTTATTATACGTACGTATTCTATAAGTGCATAGTAAAATTGATGTTATTAAATAATTATAAAAAATACTTAATAAAAAATGCTTTAAGGTTATCGTTACTGGTATTGATTCTGAGCTTTAATTACGACGTAAACTACTTTTTTTTTACGTACAGTAACCTATAAAAGATATGTGGTTTAATAAATTAATAGTTCAAAGCCATAAATAAACTTCCGTTTTTATAAATAGATTCATTAGGCATTAACGTTAATTAATACATAATACTCCAGTAAAAATTATATAATTTTATACAGGGTCTCCCGTGGCAGAGGTCTGGACAGTAAAATCTTCCACTCCGCTCTGGAAAAATTAACAAGCGTCAATTTTATCATCAATTTTTTATATTTATTTATTTGCAGCATTTAATGTTTTTTTTTATATTACGCCATATTATTATATTATTGCTCTATAGTTTCTAAAGTTTCTTTTACAATATCTTCTATGTGAAAATATAAATTTCCACGACTCCATGACATTCCATGTTTTGTGGCCTGCCCTTAACCAACGCTGTCCGCAATATACATAAGTTGCATATAATGTCCAAATTTATCATTTGCTGAACCCTTTGTAAAATGCTCACATACTGCAGCTTTTGGACGTCCATCTTTCCTTCAATATAATACTTATTTCATGTCGGTATTCGTAGTACTACTTGTTGAAGGTTCCATACTAGACTCATTCATTTAATAAATCAAAAAAATTTTAAACGCTCTTTTGAAAAAAAAAAGACATCAACTTATTTATCACTGTGATAATAATAATAATCAAAAAGAATTACCATAGTATACTGACTAAAAGACCCCCTTGCAAAAGACCCGGAATATTTTCAAGCAATTTTTTAAAGTAATACAAGTACTATGTATTACGTATAATGTATTGATTGGTTGAATAAATCTTCGAAATTAAAAAATTTTAATAATGGTTTAATGTAACTTTTCTACATTATCGCGCTTTTGTTTGATAGGATAAAAGTGATTTTCTTAATTTATAGTTATTGAAAGTGATGTCTAAGTATCGTCTTATTCCGTTTTGTGTGATCTTCATTCTTTTGATTTTAAGCATTTTACCTATTGCACAAGCCTGGGATAGTGGTATGACTTTATGAATATTTACAAGTAATTTTCGAAAAAAGATCTTTAAATATATAATAATAAAATTTACAATAGTGGACCATGAGATTTTTGATATAGTGGATCGGCTTACGAGTTTTGAAGGAGACAATGCAACATTTTATTCATTACTTGGAGTAGAGCCCACAGCCACTGAAAAGGATATTGGCACAGCATATAGAAAATTATCACTCGCTTTACAGTATGTTAATTATCCAGGTTTTATCCTTTTCTCAATTGATTAACCTCGAATTAATGAATTTTCATCTATCTTCTTTTTTTTTTTTTAATTAGTCCTGATAAAAATCCTGGTGAGCATGGTAAAGAAATGTTTATCTTATTAGGTTCCATTACAAAAATCCTTCGTAATCCAGAATATCGAGAGCGTTATAACTTTTTCTTAAAAAATGGCATTCCAAAATGGCGTGGAACAGGGTGGTATTATAATCGATATCGACCTGGTCTTTCCGGGTATTTTATAAGTTTTTTCTCAGATATTTTATATTAGACCCGGAGTCTTTTAGTCAATGCGATAAAATAATAAGTAATCAAAAAGTATATTAAAAGTATAGTTATGTTAATTAAAAGCGTCATTATATTTTTTAAAAGCATCATTGCTTATTAAAATCATCATTATATTAATTAAAAGCATCATTATATTTATTTTAATAAGCATAGTAAAAATTTTATCATCGGAATTTGGGTGTATGCTTTTAGAATTTGGGCAGAGGTTTGGGATTTGAGTCAATATTTGATTTGAAGTTACATTTGAATTTTGGCAAAAGCCCGAATTCCGACCGAAAACTGTCGTAAGTGTCTAAAACAGTTTGGGTGACTGAAGATATCTTAATAACCACCTAATGAAATTCGATGAAATTTTTTTATTTTTCTTTTACGAATGCGTAAAATTAAAATAACAATTTTTCATCGAATTTTATCAGGTGGTTGTCGAGATACTTTTGCTTATAATTGTTAAACTTTTGATGTACAGATATGATAAAAAAAAATTGCCGAATTATAAATTAATAAATTTTAATAGTAACATTCATTATTTATACGTATAGAAACCTACTAAAATTTAAATATTAATAGTTTTAAACCCATATTATAAATATATAATTTACAAGTTATAGAATTGAATTTGTTTATTATACGTAGTTAGTAAAACAGAATTTATGATAGAACGTTTTAAAAATGCAGATTTTTTATATCATAAATTACTTTGTTAAATTTTTTTGTAATAAAATGATCTAATACATATGAATTCTGAAACACCTGGTTATATCTGAATAATTATTTTATCAAATTCAATAAGTTTTTGATTTCGGCCATTATTAGTATATAAAAGCTATTTTAGCTATTTTTATGCTATATGTTATTTTATTAATAGTTTATCGTTATAATGTCGACACTCAATATCAGTGTGGCATGTCTAAAGCTTTTTTGGAAGTGTCCAAGCTGTCCATATTTTAGTAATAGAAATAAAAATTATATGATTATATTTTACGTTCAATTCTAAACATTTTTTTATTTATATTTTTTTTTGTTTAATTCTAAACATTTTTATTTATACTTTTCGTTTAATTCTAAACGTTTTATTTATCTTTTTTCGTTTAATAAACATTTTTATTTATATGTTTTTGTTTAATTCTAAACATTTTTTATTTATATTTTTTGTTTAATTCTAAAAAATTTTATTTAAAAGATTGAAATAGGTTGTCTTAATAAAATTTTTAGTAAATTCACTTTATTCTTTTGTCCAAAATCTTGTTCAAAGGCTATCTATTATCATTATTAAATTTTCGTTTATTAAATACTTGTTTGATTTTCAAAAAAATCAAATATATTTCAGTTGCATCAAAATCTCTAATAAGATTTTTGTCTTTTAAAGTAGAAAAAACGTCATTAAAACATTTGAAATTTCTCTATTTAAATTCAAATTTATGCTTGGGAAAGTCTATTTAATAAAGTCGAACTCTTCTTTTTCTATAAATTTTCCATAATATAATCATTTGATATCTAATATATGGTCTCTAATTGAATCGTTTTTTTTTTTTATCATTAGTTAGTAGAAAAATAAGCATATAGTTATTATTTGGGTCCTCAAAAGTAGAAACCAGGGAATTTGACATTTTTTTGAAAATTAACCTGTTTGATAGATCAGGTATAATATTTAAT